TCGGCATTCATAGGTCGATGCTTCTGCCTTTTAGGGGGGCACTTATCGTCTATGTTTAGCATGTGACATATTATGTCCGGGCTTATCCCCTCCATATCTTCGTGAGTCTAAGCAAACATGTCGAGGTTGCTTCTAAGGAATTCTATTAGTCTTTCCCGGCTCTGCTCTTCAAGTTCTGAGCCCACTCTCAGCTTTCTTGTCAACTTATTTTCATCAATGGGGACTTCGATCAATTCTTTAACGGGCCCCGTTCCTGTCTCTTCGCCCGAGAGCCTTGGATCTAGATCAAACTCCTCTGCTCTAGTCACCACCATCCTCATCTCTCTTCTGCCTGCCCCGGCTCAGCGTAATGGCGGACTGTCTCTGAGTATGTGAGCTTCAACTCATACTGGTTTCCTCTAACCTCTCCAATCCCGTTGGGGGTTAGAAATTTCATCATTTGGTGATAGATCGACGTGATTTCCTTCAATGCTCTCAGCGTTGGCCGCCCTATGACTACATTATACTGGTCACCTCCATTCAGCACCAAGAATTTTGACATGACGGTCGAGGTATGTGGTCGGTCACCAATTGTCATTGGTAGTTCTATTATCCCATCAGGGATGACACAATGCCCGGTGAAGCCATATAGGGGTTGTGTATTACTCTACAATCTCATTCGGGGGATTCCCATATTATCGAGGCAGTCGGCGTACATAATGTCTACCGAGCTGTCATTGTCAACTAGGATGCGGCGGACCGTGTGGTTGTCGATCATGGCCTTCACGACTAGAGCATCATTTTGAGGAAAATGCACTATGTTTGTGTCCGCCTCTGAAAACGTTATCTCGGCCTCGTCATATCTCGCGGCCTTTACTTCTCTATCGGACACACTCATGACCCTCCGGTTGAACTTTTTCTTTACCTCTGTTTCGTACTCTTTCTGTGCGCGGCGAGAGGTGCCGCCGATATATGGCCCTCTAAAAATCATCCTTATCACACCGACAAGTTTGGGCGGATGGTCTTACCTTTGATCCTCCCGTCGGTCGTTGTTTCACTGATTGTTGTTGTCCCGTCGGTCGGCTCGGTATTCACTGAGCCTCCCTTCTTGGATTAGCCTCTCGACTTCATCTCTCAAATCAAAACATTCGGTGGTCGTGTGTCCGCTCTCACCGTGAAACTTGCAATACTTGCTTTGGTTTCTCCGCGCTGGCTCGGACTTGAGCGGTGGTGAGCGAGGAAGTACCTGGAGGTGACTAATCTCGTAATAAACGTCATCGATCCCCATGGTTAAAAGGGTGTAGGCGTCGTATTTTTGTGGCTTGGGTCGCTTGGTATCCCCCTGCCCTGTTGAGGCGTTGTTACCCCTGTTGTTTAGGGCTGGATTATACCTTTGCTCCATTTGCACCTAAGGATTTCCTCGGCGCTTCTTACCATTATTTTGATGGCTCGACTGTGCTACTTCTTCTTTGGTGGGGACCACCACCTTACTCCTTTAGGCATTTTTGGCATCCTCTGCATTAATGAATCCCTGTGCTCTCGTCAGGAATTCTTGGTAGGTCTGTGGTGGCCTTCGGTCGAGGTCAGTGCTGTATGGGATGTCCTTCTTCATGCTTGACAGGGCCCCCATCAAAGCCACCTCATCGGAGATCCCCTCAGTGGTGGCCACATGCTCCCCGACTTGGGCTATCCAATCTTGTAGGGACTCATTTAGTCCTTGATAAACCCTCGAGTGGTTTTGCTTAGGTGGGATGTACTTTTTGACACCTATGAACTGAGTTAGGAAGGCGTTCTTCAAGTCATCCCAGCTAGTAATGGAGTTTAGTTTTAGGGACCTAAACGATCTTCTTGCAGAGTCAGAAAGATGATTTCTGAACGCCCGACATATGACCTCCTCGGGGTACCCCTGAAGGACCATGTGCCCTGTGTAGACTTCCAAGTGGTCGTCCGGGTCACTTCTTCCATCATATAGCGGAATAGGGGGCAGCTTATACTTATCAGGCAACGGCACCTAAATGATGTTCTCTGTGATTGGTTGGTCGTGAGACGTGTACATCTTGACATCGACATTTACGGCCTCGGCCAACTTCCCCACAACTTGCTCAAAGTTTTTTAGCTGACTCCCTATTTGCTTTTCTAGCCTGGCCATCTTCTAAGCCAGAGCCTTATTCTCGGCCACGAGCTCTTCCTCCTTGGTCCGCTATACATCTCGATCGCGTCAAGCGTTCAACTGCTCCCTCAGGTTTCCTCCGCGTACGGATGAAGATTTTACTGGAACAACGTTTCTCGGGTTCACGTTCTCTTGCGGCCGAAGATGCACTTCTCTGTTATTCACTGTTTGGCCCGCAGCCCTCTTTTGGGCTCTCCTCCTAGCAGCTTGTTGCCTGCTCCCCACAGATCTATTCGACTTGGCTGGGCGAGGGTTGTTAGCCCCACTGTCACCGACCCCCTCAGCGTCACCACGTTGGTCATCATGCAGTGTGAAAGAATTCTGTGAGCCACGTGGATTAAAATTCAACCTCTTTAGACTTAAAACAAGTAAAAGGAAAGCAAAGTAGTTAGATTGTTTTGACTGTTATAGTGAACTGCAATCACTATTCCCTCTTATAGAAAAGTTACTTGTTGTAGTGATGTCCTTTACTGTCACAATCTTCCATTTATTATACGTTGTATTTCTTGTTCTTCTTTTCTTGAAGGTTGTCAATAACACCTGACTTAGAGTTGTGTATGAAATAAAACATATTTGTTTATGTTGTTGTGTCCCGTGTTGTTACTTGATTTTATTTGTGGCATTGTTTTGTGCGGGATAATGCCATTGGTGTGTTGTGGTAGATGCCGAGAGGGGGAAAGGATGAGGATACGACTCTTCATTGGAATCAAATGCAGAAGGAGGAGTTTTTGCAACGCCTCGCAAAGTATAACCGTAAATACCACGGTAGGAAACCAGACCAAACAACTTGGGAAGACTGGGCTACTGAACTACATAAACATTTTAAGGATCCAGTTACGGCAGCCAAGGTTCAACAGATGAAAGTGCGTCTAAAAGGCAAGTTCGATAGGGAGGTTATACTACGCACAAACAATGGCCTTGGTTGGGATCCTGTGACAGGCACTGTGACATATGCGGATGAGTATTGGGATGATTTTGCTAAGGTAAATATCAGAAGTTCATTTTCCCCTTTTTCATTATTTAGCATCATTTAGGACATGTGTTAACACAGAACAAGAAGTGGGCCAATGCTCCAAAGAAGCAGCCCCTAAAAAACTTTGACATGTACTACGAAGCCTTTGGTAGTACCCGGACAAGTGGAGCTTTTAAGACGGGTTTGGAAAAACCTACCACTGAGCATGTAGACACAATTCCCATCCCGGATGAAGAAGGTGAAGGGGGGGCGATTGCAGTCATTAGGCAGCGATGACAGTTTTGTCACTACGATGCGAGCCAGTTTGAACACTGCCAAGAGGGGCTTGAACGTTGCGTCCTCTGCTAAGGCAATTATAAAGAAGCCTGTACGTAATTACAAACGATCGGTTAGAGATCCAGAGGCTAAGGCACTCATTGGACGGCTTGTGGCATCTATAGAAAGTAGGATTAGTAGTAGAGCAACTAGTTCCAGCGCTCATCAGAATCCTACAACCGCTTCTGTTATGCAGCAGTGTCAAGTGTTTGTCAAGGAAATGGATCTTGATGATGAAAGTGCTGTAACATTTTTCCATTGCGTGGTATTCGCACATGCAACAGATTTTCGTGGATATGACAGAGACGCAAAGGATTTTTTTTCGTGACGAGGACTATTAACTCCAAAATGAATCAAACAAGCCAGCCTTTCTCGATGCCTAATCCAGCCATGGCCTCCAACTTCATGCAGCCCCCATTTCCAAACTTCATGTCCCCTCCTAACTTTTTTCAGCAACCTCCTAACTTTGGCCAACCACAAGTACCCAGTTTTTCTCAACGGCCGCCTAACGTGTAACCACAACACCAACCCTTCCAAAACATGACCCCAAATGTTAACCCCCAAACCCCTAACTTTCAATGTCAACCACTCTATTACATGCCTAGTTTTCCACCTAACTCCGGTCCCTTTAGTGGAGAAACCAATGACGACTAGCTACGAGTTACTTAACACTTTTTCTTTACTAGATAGTGATGAACAATTTTCATAATTATGTTGCTTTTTTAACTATGTTGTATTGATTTATTAAGTCGATATACTTCCAAACAGCTACCCCTATTTGGGTTTTCTTTCAATTTATGATCTGATTTATAAAGTCGATGTACTTGTTATGAAATGTGCACCTGCCCAGTTGTGACTTTTCAATAGTTTGACATAATGTTATTGCCCAATTTTAATCTCTTTTGTTGTACAAGTGACCTCTATTATGACATATTTAGCCAACATGTCATAATGTGGAACGGAGGGCCTCCGAATGCGTCGCCTAACAACACATTGACCGATGACTCTGGTGATGAATATGAGGTAGCTAATATCGCGGCTGTCCTCTGGTATTACCACACCTACATAGAGAGACTCCCACCTCTACCTAAGCACACCTCCGCGTTGACAGGTATTATGCGTGTTGATTATTTGCTTCATGGCCACGATGACATAATTCAGAATAAGATTAGGATGGGCAGCGACTGTTTTAAGCGTCTTAGTTCTCTACAAGAACTTAAAGGATATTTGAGACCCACTAGGAATATAAATGTTGACGTGCAACTTTTTATCTTCCTATACATTGTGTCCCAAAGCCAGAGCAATACGGAATCACAGGACCAATGGCGCATTCTGGATCCACCATTTCCAAATACTTTGAGGCTGTATTAGAGGCAAGCTTTTTATCTTCCTATACATTGTGTCCCAAAGCCAGAGCAATACGGAATCACAGGACCAATGGCAGCATTCTGGATCCACCATTTCCAAATACTTTGAGGCTGTATTAGAGGCAATATATAACTTGCGCCATGATTTCGCAACACCCCTGAATTTTAACATTATTGATCTAGTCATTGCGGTGAATGGAAGCAAGTATTTGCCATGGTTTCAGGTATTTCATTAATATTGACTCATATGCTCATCGACTTACTTGACGTAATTGGTAATAGTTGTTGTTAATTGATTACAGAATTGTGTTGGAGCTTTTGACGGGACTCACGTCCCTTGTGTTCCACCACCCGGTAACCCCGAAGTATGGAGGAATATGAAGGGTTTCTACTCCCAAAATGTGTTAGGGGTATGTTCATTTGACATGAAGTTTACTTACATGGTAGCTGGATGGGAGGGTTCTGCCCATGATGCGCGCGTTCTTACATCCGCAACAGAGACGTCAGAAAAAAAATTTCCCATATCCACAGTTCGGTATGTGAACAATGATCCTTGCTATACATTTCGATATACAACAAATATTGTTGGTTGATTTTGCTTTTTAACTATGTTGATTGCTTCCAATTTGATCTTTTGATAGCACTAAAGACTTGTCGGTACTAATTATTGATTTGTAATGGATAATATAGGGAAATACTACCTTGTAGACTCTGGCTACGCGAACAACGATTGTTTCTTGGTGCCGTACCGGGGGAGCACATATCACCTTCAAGAGTATAGGGCAAGACGTGGTGTCCTCGAAGTCAGCGTGAGTTGTTCAATTACACGCATTCGTCCCTAAGGAATGTTATTGAGCGCACTTTCGGTGTTTGGAAAGCAAGGTTCCGCATACTCAAGTGCATAAATAATTACCCAATAGAGAAACAGGTACAAATTCCTATTGCTTGTGTCGTGCTTCACAATTTCATACATATGTATAACCATAACGACGATCTACTAAACCAATACACAAGAAATGGAGTACCAGCTATTGAAATTGATCCAGAGAATGCAGATCAAGATGTTAATCAGGATCACAATCCTGATTGGGCAATGGAACAAAATCACAACTCCGCAAATCGTAGACAAATGAATATTTTGAGGGACGAGATGGCTACTAGCATGTGGGGGGCATTGGAAGCATATCGCAATCGGTAGTTACATATTTGTTTCGCAATTTCGACGACCTTATTAATATAGGGTTGTTATGTATTTGCTCGCCCAATTTTACACCATTAATGCTAAACTTAAGGACATTTTTTTATTTATGAATGTAGGTGCCTATAGTTTCTCTCTTTAAAAAAATTCATGTCAAAACTTGCTAAACTTGGAGTTATGTTTTTGTCAAAGTGAACACAAAACTCAAGTTCAACATTCACAAACTGTCCAAGTGAACACATAACTCAAATTTCAAACACAATTCCAATCAAACTCACTTTTTAACTCTAATCTTGAATTTCAAGATGTTGAATCGAACGCCCCCTAAATTTAGTTTTGTTTCGAATTTAAATAGGGTGTTTGTTTCTCCCCTAAACTCAAGAAAAGTTGGACTCAAGTTAAAAAGTGAGGTCCAAGTTACTGTTCGGTTAGATGAAACTCAAACCGAAACTTGAATCTTAATTCAAGTTTTGTACTAGTTTTCAAGTTCAGCCTCCCCATTCAATTCACTTTCACTCAAGTTTTGTGCTACAATAAAATAAATTAATTTTCCTTAAATAATAAATTTTAAACAAAAATAATTACATCCATTCACTAACTATTCACAACTCAAGCTTTGGTGTAATCAAACACAGACTCTTTATTCATCTTAAGTTACAACTTCAAATCAAATTCAGCTTCTCAATTCAAACCTTAACTTAAATGTACATATCCAAACACAAACTTAAGTTACAACTTCAATTCAAATTCAGCTTTTAACTAAAATCAAGATCCTTACTCAAACCACCCTAACTTAAATTGTGGAAAAGAACACACCCTTAATAATTCTAAAATCTTTATTGTTTAATATTTTACAAGTTAATATCCTCATGTTTGAGAAATATAATTAGGGTACCAATTATTTAAGAAAATATCATTCTACAGTGGATCTTTGGATTTTTGCTATAGACAAGGGCACAATAACGAGATAACACCAATAACTCTTTTTAAAAAAATAAAAAAATAAATAGTATACTACTAGTTATGATAATGATAAATCCTTCAAAGGAAAAAAATAAAAAGAACAAGATATTGGCAACAATAGGACTAATTATAAGAATTTCCCGTGAATTATGTCCATTATATCACTTTACCTCCTGATTTTTAAAATTTAACATCCATTCTCACCATCTTTAAAAACAAGGCCCTAGGAGTCTATATCTGTTGTCTCATTATCGATGTCTCAATGGCTATCCCTTTAATGAGATTTTGACAAGTCATCAAAACTTTCCACACCAATTACAAGTAAATGAGTTTAACGGAAGAAGGCAAACGAAGCCAAGATGTGGCTTAATGCCTCCCAAGTTTCTCACTAATTCAATCAAAACCGTTAGATCATGATGTCACTATATTATCTCTTTAGTCTCTGAAACCAGCCATGGAATAAACCCTTTCAAAACCCACCTTTGTCTCTTCCTCTTTCTCTCTCCCTTCAACTCCGCCACTTACTCCATCGGCGTTAACAACGACACTGTCATCGAAAACCTTCTCCTACTATCCATTGACAATTTCTTCAAGACCCAAATTTCTGTCACCGTCACCACCATCATTGGAAATGGGAAGTTTCGTGTCGCTGAGCACCCCAACCGCCAGTCTTGGATCGCCAAGAATATCCTCCCCTTTCACCCAAAAACCACCATCAGCCACATCTCCATTAGAAACGAAATTGTTGCCACCTCTGATAAGGGCCTCATCGTCGCCACTCCTCGATGTACTCATGTGAAAAGATGACCAATTCTATGTATATACCACAAAGTTTCAAAAATGGATCTCCGGCCTCATTCATTGCGTTGGGTCAAGTTTTCAATACGAATTGGAAAGTGAATTTTTGTGAGAAAAAAAACTGTACCACAAAAAATTAAATTTAAATTTTTATATTAGTAAAAATTTACAACAAAACTAACAATGCTTGGTCTATTGTGTTTTAAATCAGAAAGGAAGATTTTTTTTTTTGGTTCTTTAAAAAGTAAAGATACATCTCTTTTAGCTTTTTTTTTATCAAAAAATTGAAGACATGTAAGATGAAAAGACAATGTTTGACAACAAGTATAGAGAATGTAATAAAAAAAAGGTTAATAACTCTGTTAATTTATGAATTTTGAACATAGTGATATTTTAATCCTTAAATTTTTAATTTAAGCATATTTAGTCTCTTAACTTTCATACTTTGACAGTTTTGGTCCTTAATAATAAAAATGGTAAACACTTTCTCAAATTTAGTCTAGATAATCACGTTATTATCACATATAATAGAAAATTTTACATAAATAGTTATAATAAATGTAAAATATAATAGTTTTAATAGGTTTTAACAGTAATAAAGAGAAAGTATGTAATTATTTTGATAAAATTTTACAGTTCAAATTTTTGTTACAGTAATTTCTCTCATAAAAATTTAAATTTAATTTCTTTTACTATATTATTTTCTCTCACATGAATTTATTTTTTTAACTTAAAATTGTAACTCAAACGAACAAAAAAAATAAGGCTTTAAATTGCTTTGTGATGAACACATGTTTATCTCTCTATTTCTCTCTGTCATAACTAGCAATAATAATTGCGCTTTTAATTACCACTCGACCCGTTTGGTAATATTTTCAAAATGATTTTATTTTCAATATAAAAGTAAAAATCAGATTGTTTTGAGAATCATTTTGAAACAAATTCTAAAATTACGTTTGGTTGTTTTTTTAAGAGATTATTTTGAGTATAATAAAAAAGTGAAATCGTATTTATTAATATATTATAATATTGTTGACAAATACTAAAAAATGAAAATAAAAAAGAGAAAATAATTTTTAAACATTTTCTAATTACTTCACAAAAACCATTATCACTACTTTTTATTTTTATTTTCATTTTCATTTTTAAAATATCTGCTAAACAAACACGTTTTGAAAAACAAGCAAAAATCAATTCCAAATGCACTCAATTTATATCCCTATGATATTCTTGGGGTTCCTTCTGAAAAACAACTTTTCGACCGTATTTAGAATTAATCTCATTTTTATTTTTCACATTTTTCGAAAAAGAAAAATGAAAACGTTTTTAAAACAACATTTAGTGCAATAAAGACAAAAAACGAAAATGAAAACGATTTTTTAGTTTAGTGTAAAATGAGAGAAATAAAAAATGACTTTTAATTATTTTTTATTTTTTGTTTTCATTTTCTCATCTCTCAAACAAGAGAAAGACATTAATGAATTTTTTTATATTAAAAATAACCTCTTAATAAAATTACCAAACGCATTTTTAAAAATAATTTATGTCTAAAATTAAAAATAATTTTATTTTTATTTTCATATAAAAAATAAAATTATTTTATAACGAGTTCTAAACGCTTTCCTCTTCACCATTTTCTTTGAGTTTCTTCTTTCCTTACTAACTTGAATTTCCAATCATGGCTTTCTTGAAATCGCCTTTGTTTCTACTATATTTTGCCCTCCTAGCTTTATTTGCAAACTTTTTATTTTCCTTTGGTCGTTCCTGCCTTTCTCTGTTCCGGCGTTACTTTTCTTGTCCTCGTTTTCTTAACGAATCAAATTCAGAAACATTTAGTTCATAGATTAAAATTATAAAATTAAAATTATTTTCGATTTATGTGTATTTAAAAAAAACACTGTAATGATTCGAATCAGGGTAGGAATACCAGAGCTTGATGGAGCACCTAAGGCTGTTCATGGGTTAGGTTGGTGTGGGGTAGGACTTTTTTTTTCCCCGCCCCAAAGGGTGCGGGTTGCACATATTTGGCCCCAACGATGTTAGAAAAATTTCACAGCCCAACGATGTTCGGGTTGGGTTGGGGCGGTGCGGGGTGGGTTGGGTGGTCGGTTTCAACATTCAAAAAATCAAAGACTTAAAGTTCAGTATAATATTTAAACTTCATCATTAAATAGAAATAGCAATCATCCTTATCAGTCCGGCGAGAGAGCACCGGAGAAAGTGGGCAAGACGGCGGCCGAGAGGACTGAGCAATGAGGAGAGAGTTATGAGGGGGTTCACGGGAGAGGAAGAAGAGGGGAAACTGAAAAGGAAGAGGCAAGAAGAGGGGGTTCACGGGAGGGGAGACCGAGAATGAGATTGTGAACCCTAATGTTAGCGAGCCTAAGGTAGAACTTGGGCAGTTCGGCTTGGGCTGAAAACTTGGGGGTATGTTGTGCGGGTTGGGTTGGGGATTGCGGGTTGTTATGGGCCCAACCCGCAATCCGCCCCAAACACTTCAGGCCAGAGGTATAATGGGCCAAAAATTTAAAAATAATGTTGCGGGTTGCTTTTTTCGGCTTGGGTTGGGGCGGGGTGGGTTGGGTTTGCGGGTTGTTCGGGTTTATGAACAGCCCTAGGAGCACCTCATGTTCCTCTCATACGGCTGGAGGCAACGGGGACTTGGTAATTTCGTTGTTGTTCTGTCAGGACCTGGTTGGCCTGCTATAGCCTCCGGTTGGAAGCCTTCATGACTAGCTTCAAATCTGCAAGACGCTCGACGTTTAGCTTCAACTCTTCCTTTTCCATGCTTGAGAATCGAACTTCCAGACAATGGATCTTCAACTTCAGGAGATGAAAGACCAAGATTCTTGGATGGTAAGTGTTGACGGTCAAATTTTGCCAACAAAAACTGACCGGGTTACCTCTTAGTTTCCCTTTGGATTACCGGCCAGTGTGTGTAGTCAACGTATGAGGAGTTGTTGGATATGTGTGTTTGTGTATTCACTAAATCATACATAGGCAAATGACACAAGAAAATTTATAGTGGTTCACTCTATAAAATGAGAGCTACATCCACTGTGATTTTGTATTTCTTTTGGGAAAATCACAATTTACAATAATTGTTCTTATTAAATCTGTTCTTTTCTTTTCTGGAATTTTCCGAACCCCTTCCTTATTGGGGGTCGTCCTCCTTTTATACTGGGCTTCCTTCGCTTAGGGGGTTTCCTTCATAGGTAGAAGCACTCAAGTGCTCTTCT